CCTGGAAAGGCTGGGTTAAGACCTTGGCCCCCTACCCAGGTGATTGATACCTATTTAGAATATCAGTCACTGCTCTTTATCTCCAGGGCAAGCACAGGGATATAGTAGTTTCTTTGCTTTTACAATTCTGGCCCTTCAGTGAATGTGTCTTGATTGTCCTCCATGTTGGCTCCTCCTGGACTGGCCCTGTCTAACTGCCTACAAGATATCTAATTAAGTTGCCTATCTGCAATATTTCTCCCTCTGAAGAAGGACTCCTAACTGCTGTTAGGCAAAGAGGGCAAAGGGTGAAGGCAGCTCTGGCTACTTCAGAGGGTCGTAGTTGTGTTCAGCAGTTAGAGTTACTCTACAGAGGGTTTGCTTTATCTAAAGTCTTTCAATAAGCACCAGGCATTGTCATCTCGGTAGCCGTGAATAACTATTTTCTAGGATGATTTCCTTTTCCTTCAGTCAGTGACCCTTGTGGAGAAGATTCCCCTCTGTGGCTGAGCTTTTCCCCATAGTTAAAAACATTAATTGCCTTTCTTGCTTTGCTCTGAAGCTTTTCCTGTGTATTACTTCTCTTCTCAGTTGTGCTGCCCTGGATGAAAGAGGAAGACAAGGTCAGGGCCTCATTTATTCCTCGTTTTGTCCCCTGTGCCCAGCATGGCGTTTGGGGATTGAACAAATTCTGTGTCTGATCTCTGGGCAGCCTTTATTTATTCTTCACCTTTGTTCTTTCCACCTACTAAATCTATCACAGATCTGCCCCCTCTCCTTTGTGCCCTAGAACCACTTGCTTAGTGTCAACTAACCTTGAATTAGGAGGCTGTCTTGCTGTAGCTTGACAGTCACTTCCTAGCTAGCTTCCTTCTCTGTGCTCTGTGGCTTCTCTTCCCTCCTGTTATCCAAGGAACAATTCCTAAGCACAGGTGGATCGTTCAGCAAGCAAATATGTATCCAAGGCCTCCAGCATGCTGGGTACTGTGCTAATGCCACTTTGACTAAGGTTTCCCTCATCCCAAGTATCCCTCCCACATTCTCCTATCGTAACCTCTCCTACCTCAATCCGTGTTATATTGAAATGATATCAAAAGACCATGTACGTCTTGCATCTCTTTGGTTTGCACATTTCCAGATTCCATTTTTGTACATAAAGGCTGCATGTATTAAACTGGATGATTCAAGGACCAAACTAATCCTTAAAAGTTAAGCACTTAAAAAGAAACTATTTCAATGAAATACAAGTAAACATTAATAAACAAAGGACCCGAGTTCAATCCCTGGTACAAAAAAAAAATTAATAAAATGTTTTAAAAACAGTCTTCTATAAAAAAAGCAAAGTTTCATAACATATTAATCACAGAGTAACATTAGTTATTAAGCACTTTTGAAAGGACATGAACTTGTGTGAATGTTGGGCCTCCGTGCATTGCGTAGAGAACACGTATTCCCTTTTAAACCTGTATTGTGTGGGGGAAGTGGCTGCAGGAGGGATACAGCAAGACTTCAGGGCACATTGACTGCATCATCTGCTAACTATGGTCCCATAGAAGAGCCTGCACATCCTCCATGTGAAAACAAGGTCTCCAGTGTCTTATCTATATGCGGAGAGAGTTGGGAGTATTTAATGTACTTAATTTGTACGGTAACCTTCCCATTGCCTGGGCAAGCGTGCAGCAAGGTCGCCATCCTTACTGTGTGAGTCATGGTACCATTTTGGAAAGCAAAACTTAAGCCAAAGGAAGACGCTGACCTGATGCCCTTTCTTCTTATTTCAATCCAGTTTAGCTCAGACTAGAGACTTAACTGTCATGAAACACAGGTTTCGGGTGTTTACAACCTGCATTTCTGTATCAAGTCACTTAGTGCCTCTCAAATCCAATTTTCTTGTCTCTAAAATGGGAGTCATTGTGTTGTCTATCTCCCTGCCTGTGATGGGAATCAAAAAGTGTAAGCCTATGTAGATGCCCTAGAAATTGCACGGTGCTCTACCAGGGTGATGCTGCAATACAGACAGTTCAGTATCATAGAAATGGGAGTTTTGTGGTTAACACCAATGAATGTTATTTCTTAATGTCTCCTTTTACTCACAGGAAGGAAAAATTGCCACACTCATTATTAAGAGCTTGACTTTGGAGAGACCAAAGATCAGAACTGGCTCTGTTTAAGGGTGACAGAAATGGAACAACAGAGATTTTTAAAATCCATTTGTAGCATTTTGGTCATTATGAGCAGCTCAGTTGTATTTTACCACTGGCTACTTATTACTTTGCCACAGGCAGGAGCTAGGAAGTGACAGAGAACATGCATTTATCATCCTGCCATGGAATACAAAAGCCTCGTTTGTCTGTGACTAACGGCAGGTTTCAAAAATGGCATGGTGGATTATTACGCTGATACTTAACCAAGGAGATTATCATGGATGGTTAGGTGTTTAATGTTGACTTTTGATAATTTCTTAAAATGTGTAAGGCAGATGGCTAAACCAACTCTGGCATATCCGTTCTGCTAAAAAAAAAGGAATAGATATGCAGCAACATAGATCCAATGTAAAATATTTATAGAGAACGGGGGAAAAAAACTCTTATCCAAAAGTACACACTCTGTATGAGCCTGTTTATATTCTACAACAGGTAAAACAAATCTGTGGTGAAAAATAACTACAAATAACCCAGCCTTGGGGGCCAAGGAGGGGCCAGTGGCCAAAGTGAAATTTAGTGAGACCTCCAGGTACTTTGAATTACAGTATCTACAACAATAATGGATTGATAGATGCACAACAGGGTCTATCTAGTAAAACACGAATTGTCAAAGCTAGTAGTGGTTATTTCAGTTTTCATTGTCCGATTTTTTTTAATATCCTTTAGGATATTTTGAAAATTTTGTAATGATATGTTTTAAAAATATGATTTCAGGAAAAATATCTATTAAAAAAAAGGCACGAAAGAAAATCTGGCTAGGGGTTTTTGTGATGCAGTACGCTTTTCAGCACTGACTATCCTTAGACATTTTAAACATTGCCTTTTCTCAAAATGCAGGATAAAAGAGACATTGAAAACAATGCACACATAAAGATTACTGCATTTTTACTGTGTTACATGAATTGTTATCAATGAAATTTGTAATTAAAAACTACTTAACACCATATTTTTGACTACACAATTTCATTTTCTTTTGTTAATCTCCATGAACTATCTTTTAGAAAAATCAAATTTTAAAATACGAAAAGAAGTAATAAGCTGGTAATAGAATTCAGTTAAGAAGAATATACCATTTTTATGAACTCTGTTAACTGATAAAAAGCATTGTTGAAAACTTTGACTTTGGGATACACATGATATCACCTTGACTCTTCATAGTCAGTTGAGACTGTGAGAATTGTTGGGATTCTGGAAGACTGAATTTAAAGTGAATATGACAAATCAGAGCACTGTATTTTTCAAAAGTACAAAATGCAATAGGAACATGTACAGAACTATGCCCTTCAGAACCAAGAACCACTTTAACTGGTCATTTCTCACTGAATATTCACTGTCTGCTGTCCTGAGCTTCCATACAGACTTTTAAAAACAATATGGAGAAATAAGTCAAGGTTTAAAGAGGCACAAGATGATTAAAATAATGGAAAACAGGTCCTCTTCAAGAAATCTGAGAGAAGGAATTCTGTGCAAACTCTTCTAAGATAGAAAGGTTAATCAAGCTCTTGATGACTACTTTAATTATGTAATGTGTTTCTACGAAGGGATTCTATGAAAACACTAACAAAAGGGATTTAAGTTAGGCAGAAATAGTTTTAGTTTACTTTGAGGTCATTAGAACATGGAATGATTATCAAGAGATATTTTGGAGTCTGAATCCCTGGAGAAATACAAAAACAGAATATAAATTCTGAATAGTTTGACATTGACTTGCCACAGGCTGAGAACTACCTTGACCTTTGAAAGCACCGTCCTGAATCTGCATTCCAATAATAATGTTTCATCCTATGATAATAATTTTGAAATGCAACTTGTGACTAATTTACCTTGTTCTTGGCTTTGTATAACTTTAAACTCACTTAACAGTTGTGGTATTAACGATTCTTTTCATTACATTTGTCTTTTAATAAATGATTAGATATTGTTTTGGTGACTGTAATGCTGTTCTTCACTTAGTTTCTGTATTTTTTTTAATGACAAAATACTTATACAGTGGTCCCCTCATAATCCCAGGGAACAGTATATTCCAGAATCTCCTTGGATGCCTGGAATTTCAAACAATACTGAACCTTATATATCCTGGGGTTTTTTTCCCCCGTACTTACATAGTTAGTTTACTTTATAAGTTAGGCACAGTAAAAAATTAACAGCAGTAACTGGTCATAAAATAGAACAGTTATAACAAAAGTTGTGTTACTATAGCAAAACCTGTTTTACTATAGACTGTAGTAAACCAATAGGGCCTCTTTCTCTTGAGAACATTAAGAGAAATAGTGATGGCCTCAGAGCCAGCTGATGTGGGGAAACTAAAAGTGGACAAAGTGAAACCGTGCATAAGGAACAATTACTACAATGTGTTCTCTCATTTTTCTCCTGAATGTTGTATCACTCTCATTCTAAAGTTGGGGGGCGTTGTATTTACAACTCTGATAGTCGCAAGCATTTTCTCTCTGTGGGCCAGGCCCTATCTGAATCTGTTTAACATGCTCTGCCATTTGCCCCCGCGATACCTCCACCTACCATCCAAGGCTAGTTAGAATTGAGATAAAACTCTCACCCTGGCAGAGGATGTGTCTTCCTCTTGAGAATCAATATGGCAGAATCCTATTTTTTTAATGCAGTATTTTTTCATTAGTACATGTTTATAGTACATAATGATTGCAACTATTGTGGGAAGTTGGTATATGTACGGAATGTATCTTTTTTTTTTTTTTTATACCCTACCCTTCCCAGAATCCGCTTTTGCCTTCTCCACTGTGGTCTCTATTTTTGTTTTCTTAATCTTACTCCTTGGCTCACCTTTATTCTTACCCATTGCAGAGCAAAACTTGCTTCCTGTTGTGACGCTGTTCAAAACTTCGTGGTTTCTCAAAATAACACTCCAGTTGGAACTAACATGAGTTATGAGGTGGAAAGTAAAAAAGAAATCCCAATTAGAGAGAGCATTTTTCATATGTTTCCAGTGGTGAGTAAAGATTTATTGTAACTTTTCTCTCATTTGAAATTGTATTTTATAGGAATATGAATGAATGATTTAAAAACTACCATATTCTGTTATGTTGCATAAAATACATACTGGGGACCACTTTAAAAAGAGTTTTTATTTATTTACTTTTTTCATTCTATTCTAGGGATCAAACCCAGGGTCTCATGCATGGTATGCAAATTTTCTACTGAGCTACACTTCCATCCCCTGAAGAGGCCAATTTTATTTGTTTGTTGGTTGGTTTATTGGTACCAGGGATCGAACTCGGGACTTTATGCTTGCGAGGCAGGAGGCAGCACCACTTGAGCTAAACCCCCAGTCCCTAAAAAGGCCATTTTAAGGAGGTATGGCTCCATAGGGAAGGACATTTATATCTTAAATGATGGGTTGTACCGGTCTATGACTCTTCTTTGGAGCTGATTTCCCTGTTGGAATCGGCATCATGATCACTGGGATTTCTGAATATAACATTATCTTGGGAAGTAACTGTGTAAGAATCTGTGTCCAAAACATATAACATCTGTGATAAAGGGACTGTCTTCTGTGTTCCTGAGGTATCCCATGCTTCTAGAACATTCCCCAGTATATCTATATATCTATATATCTATAGATATATAGATATACACACTAATTGCATGTTTGTTAAATTAAAAAGCCATGGTACGATATACTATTGCTTCTTCACATGTAAGGAGGAACTTATTGGCTAATCCAAATGTGGAGAACTTTTTTTGTGCTGAAGACTATCCTGTTATATATAATGTACATTCTAAAGTATCTTAGCAGCAACCAGGCTCCTGGGGAGGTAGCTCTGTGGTAGAGCACTTGCCTAGCATGAATGAGGCTCTGGATTTTATCCCCAGTACAAAAAAAAAAAAAAGGCAACTAGGCCAAATCAATATGGTCAAAAATGGGATCATTGTATATATATGCAGTTTGTCAACTGTAGCAAGTTAGATTTGTAGTATTAATTCTCTTTGATTGGGCTTTTTATTTCTTTGACCTTATTTCTGCTTCCATAAATTGTTTCAATGCTTTACTTGTACTATAATTCAAAGGAAGAACAATTTACTGAGAATAAATGAGAAATAAAATAGTAGGAAAAAATGCTTCAAATTACCTGGAAGAAAAAAAGAGGCAAAAATAATAAAGAATGCAGTCAATAGAGGAGAATATTTAAAAGACAAAAATTGAGTCTTTTGAAGGGATCAGAGAAGTGAATGCAGTTCATGAGAGGTAATTGTCCACCAGTAAAGTTTATGCAACAAAACGGCCCTCATAAATTGTTTTCACGACGCATTGAACTACCAGTTACTGCAAAGATAATAACACAAGCATATTTCCATTCCCTGTCAGAAAAGCTGGGCCACTTTTTCACCTGTGGCTGTGTTTCCTGGTGCATGTATCCGGCTTCTGATGCCCAGCAGCACACATGAGCCACATTTAACCAGCCCCTCGCTTGGCAGAAAGGAATAACAACACAACACTGATAGTTCTGTGTGCGGTTCCTGCCTGCCTCCGTTGTCTTAAGTATAGTGATTTTTTTTTTAACGGGGAAAAGAAATTCTGCAACCAACACCGTGACACCTTCTCGTGTCACTTTTTTGTGTGGCACCAACGTTCAGCCCGCACGGGCAGGAGCTCAGGGTGGAGTTGACATTTTCCTCACCTCACTTCCTGCTTGTCCACTCCACTCTCCCACACTCGGCTTCCTGGACCAGCCAGGCGCACGGCAGATCTCAATAAATACTTTAGATCACTCAGTGCAGTGAGGAGTAAACTTCCCCCCACAACTTGGCAAATTATTGGAAGAGCAAAGCAACACAGCTGATTTTCAGCTAGAGCGAGCAAAGAGCAGGTAACTCGGCTGTGCCAATTTACATTTTTCTTAGGAGGGTTATTTTAGGAAACATTGGGGTTTGTGATTTATTTCAACTCCTACTGAACATGAGATCCCCAAACGTATGGAGGTTTCCCCCTAGTTGACCAAAGAAACCAGAGGAAGACATTTATGACTTTGAGTGCTTAATTAGAGATATGCTTCCTTCAGTGATCTTTTCTGTTGTACCGTAAAGAGTGTGTTTGCATTCTGCCCTATGTATAAAATTCAGATTGATTGTCGTACCATTGAGTAAACACTACCTGAAGACATCCTGAGCAGGAAGTTCCTCCATATGAAATAGCCCGATGGCTCTGGAAAACATTCATTTAAAAACTGGGCACTAATCCTCAGGCCTATTTCTTTGCCAGTACCATGCTGTTTTTATCACAGTGGCTTTGTAGTATAGAAATCACACAATAACAAATGTTGGCGGGGTTGTGGGGAGAAAGGAACCCTTCTCCATTGTTGGTGGGAGTGCAGACTGGTGCAACCACTGTGGAAATAAATACGGAGATACCTCAAAGAGCTTGGACTGGAGGTTCCATTTGACCCAGCCATCCCTCTGCTGGGTATCTTTCCAAGAGAACTAAAAGAATCATATCACAGAGAAGTATGTGCACCCATGTTTATAGCGGCACAGTTTGTAATAGCTAAATCTTGGAAACAGCCTATTTGCCCATCCGTTGGAAACTGGATAAAGAAGTTGTGGTTTTTCTATAAAATGGAATATTACTCAGCCATAAAGAGCGAGAGAATAGATTCATTCATAGGAAAATGGATACATATTGAAGATATACTCCTAAGTGAAATAAATAAGTCACACATGTGTAAATACCGAATAGTTTCCCTGGTGTGAATAATCTGCAACAGTGCATAAGATCCTAATAAGATTACTGACATTTAGAAATGGGAAGAAAGGAGCTAAAGGTGTAGGGAAGGTGGGATGGGTAGGGGAAGAGTAAAAAGGGAAAAGAAAAAAATGTGAGAGAATGAAAAGATGAAAATAAAGTGTTTGTAGATGGGGAGGGGAGGAGGGGGTGAAGGGAGGGCAGAGGTAAGGGGAAAAAATGAGAATCAAGACTTGTCACGTAAAGGTACAAGATCCCAACAATAAATGTAACTGTACTGTATTCCTAAAATGTACCAATAAACTCAATTAAAGCTGGAAAAAAAAAAACTGGGCACTAAGCCGGGCATTGTGGGTATTAAAGAAAATATGGAGTGGTTTCAAGTTAACATTTTAATGCAGTAAGAAACTGGACTGCGTGGTGGTAAAGAGTTAGATCCTCTGAATCAAACCACCACCTCGGTTCACAGTCCAGCCCTGCCTCTCTCTATTGTTTACAATTAGGCCTCCATTTTCTCATCCCTAGAATACTCAGAAGGTGTTTGGGTGCATTAAAAGTGCTAGTAACCTTTGCGCTTGTAACAGTGCCTTTCCCACAGTAAGCATCATGTGCCTGTCCCATTTCAAAGATAAGCCTTCTGGGAGAAGTTCTGACCCAGAGTTCCCTGCTTGTTGGGCATCTCCCAAATGCAGCATTGGGAGCAGGTGGTAGACAGTGGCTCCAGATCTGCTGGGGTTCTGGGCTGCTCAGAGTACCAGCCCCGCACTCTGCCAGTGGTGCTGGTGAACTAGATTTGGAGAGGGATGTGCCTGATTTCATAGCCTCTGCCATTTTCAGTGGTTTAAATGCCAACACTATGGCCAATTTCAAGTTGCCAGTGGTGTAACTGCCAGCCTGTGGAATTCCTGAATGTCTCCCAGTGGGCGCCATCTTGCAGACTCTATAAGCAGCTCTAGTGCACTGCTAGGATGGCACTGGGGAGACCATCGGACCAGCAGTGCTTATCCAGAACTCACTGTGCACTGTGCACTCTGCTACATATAGAAGGGGAGAGGTGGGGAAATGGAAAACTGAGAATCACTGAGGATTTACACACTTGTGTTGAAGACAAAATCGGTGAATCAGGACCTCATCGCGGTGGTGTATGGGCGGGCCCCTTCCTAGGGGCTCGTGGATGTATTATTATTTCAGGGAATATGATAGGAAAAAGCAAAGCACTGTCGAGTTGAAAAGTTGTATTTCAGATTGCAGAGGAATTGGGGAAAATGACAAACCTTTGTGGGTATACTAGGTAGGTCCAAGAAGGAAATGAAAAATATTCAGGCCTCAGAAGTTAATTCAAAATTGTCCTCTGGAGTTCTGGAGTTGGTCAGCTTCCCTGATGCACATCGGCTGGTCTTTGCAGAGATGGAAACATAAATCTAACGTCCTTACAGAGCCCAAAGGCCCAGCTACTTAAAACACATGGGAAGCTTTTGCTAAAGTACCTATTCATTTTATGGCTTAGAGTAGAAGATTTAATGCTACTTTCTAATTTCATTATTTTCTCTCTTTCTTTGCCAAAAAAAAGCTCTGTTAAAAAGGTACTATGTTGGATTTTGCCATTCTTTTTATTTATTATATAATATATAGTATATTTTGTATAGAAATATATTTATAAGATTACACTTTATTGTGTATTATATAATATCTGTTCTTTTTAAGAGAAATGCAGCAGATTCACGTGGTCTTTTTATTACGTCGTAAGTTGACCAGCATCCTGTGTTACTTTTTTTCTTTTTAAATGCTGCTTCTTTGTTATTTAAATGCTGCTTCTTTGTCCTTAGAATGTGTGCAAAGTTATAATTAAGCTGATGATGTCTGTGGTTATTAGACCAGTGATATTTCATGGCAGTTTCGCTTTGTTCCCCTAGTCCCAGCCTTTTGTGGAATACCCTTATAATCAGTGTGCCGTGGTTGGAAATGGAGGAATTCTGAATGAGTCTCTCTGCGGAGCTGAAATAGATAAATCTGATTTTGTTTTTAGGTAAGAGTTGTTCTTTGAAACCTAAGATCAATTGGACATTTTAAAGGGGTCATGGCAGGACACCGTGTGTGGATTTTGAGTCTTGGGTGGTGTCGCTAATGTCGACAAATTACCCAGGTCAGGCTTTCCTGGGATATTACATGGCTCACGAGTTTCTCGGAGTTTTCCTACCAGGCAGATAAAAATGTGCTTTGGTCATCTCCCTTTAGGGAATGGGGGTAAAATCAAGAGGGAGAGGGCTTGGGACTAAAGGACGCAGCAGAGCCTTGGGTGCTTGAAAAGGTTCCATGATGACTTCGTCAGGAGGACTCCAGCAAGGAGCATTTCCCAGACTCACCTGGCCTCAAAGCCTTGATTCTCTTAGAGAGGATGCCAAAAAAGTTTCATTCTCCAGTATTACTAGGGGAAATGCAGTCTACACCAATGCAATATCATTGTTTAGTGTTCTGAGTTGAAATGTAAAATATTTTGTGCAGCATATAAATTATGGTCTTCTAACACATTTTTATGTTAATATCAGCTAGTTTGCAAAAACACAAATAAAAATGGTTTTGATGTGCGCCTCGTACTAATAAGCCAGGCATCTCCACTTTCAGAATGTGATAGAAAGGTGATTCCTCCATCTGAGCATGAATTTCAGTTGAAACACATCTTTTTAAAATGTAGAAATCCATTTCTTTCTGTTTTAGGAGCATTGATTTCATACCTCGGAGATCCTTTGGTCCCTGTTTATTTCATGCTACCCTTTTTACAATTTTTTTAAATGAGATTTTTCATAAATACTGTACTACAGATTCTCTTTCAATGTAATCTCATTTTAAAATTTCATGCTAAAGGTAACGACAGATCAACAATAGTCCTTACAGTGCCACAAGCATTGAATGTGTTATTATTCACAATTAAAGTGAATTGGTCAGCCACTTTGTTTAAATTCTCAGTGTGAAAAACAGACATGCTGAAGACAAATACTTCTGCATGCAATAGACTTTGTATAGACTTAAAATTCCCCAAACATCTGTGGTGAGCATTCTGCCTAAACATTAATTTTACTTTATAGCTAGTATAAGAAATATAAGTTTTGGCTTCAACCCTTAAAAAGTCCCAACAGTTATTTGATTTGTAACTTGAAAATGCCTGCAAATGCCTATATTCCTGGATTCTGTTTCTGCTGATGCCAGGTATTTTTCTGAATATAGAGATCTCTTAAAATTTGGACAAACAATGGCAAAACAAGGAATAGACGTTGTAGGGGTCATTAGAGTGCACTTCATTTTTTACGCCCCTACTTTCTTTGCCTATACCTGTTGATTGCAAAACAGTTTGGAAGCTACCTGTTATTTTTTATTTCAAAAGGTTAGGAGTTGTGGATTAAGTAAGTATACTTAAAATATAGGAAGTATTCTTAAAATAAAAATAGTAACTATTAATGTATATAATGTATACAATTAATGTAGTATATATTATATTAATATGTACAAAAACATTAGCAAAGATGTTGACAGTAAAACAAATCTTGTGGCTGTAAATCCATAT